TCCTAACATTAGATCTCTTTTAAAAGCTAGTTTCTTTTGAACATAAAATTTTTTTAAAAACATCAATGGATGAATGGACTAAGGAAATGTGGTGTGGATAGGGGTGTGGGTGTGTAGATGTGTGTACTCTACCTATGCAATACATGTTGACTATTATTTAATCTTTAAAAAAAATCCTGCAATTCACAACATGATACAGTAGATAAACCTGGAGGACACTACACTAAGTAAAATATTAGCTAGATAAAGAAAGGCAAATACTGAATGATCTCTTTCTTCGAGGTAAAACTTTAAAAAGTCAAGTTCGTAAAAGCAGAAAACAGAATGTTGGTTGTCAGGGACTGGGTAACAGAGAAAATGGAAAACTGTTGGTCAAATGGAACAAAGTTTCAATTATGTAGAATGAGTAAATTCTGGAGATTTCATGTACAACATGGCAACTGTTACAGTCAATAACATGGTAATGTTTACTTGGAATTTACTAACAGAATAGATCTTAAATACTTTCACCATACCAAAAAAAGGTTAACTATGTAATGCAATGGATATGTTATTAGCCTTATAGCGGTAATCATTCCACAATGTACTATATACATATATATCGAGGCATCACATTGTACAAGCTAACCTTGGCTTTTGCCTTAAGAAAGTATAGTATGGGGCTGGGGATTTAGCTCAGTGGCACTGTGCCTGCCTTGAAAACACAAGGTTCTGAGTTCAATCCAAGGTACCAAAAAAGAAACAACAAAAAACACTATAATATGTCATTAATTCCAAAGTAAACAAAAACAAAAAATGAAAATCAATGCAACAGAAAACAAAAACAACACAGAAGACTAATAAAACCAAAAGGACAGGCATAATGCCCATGCAAATCCCAGCACTCAAATGCTTGAGACAGGAAGATCCTCCCTTCAAGGCCAACTTGGGCTACACAGCAAGATCCTGCTCCCAAAAATACCAAAACAAAAACAAAAAAGCTGTTTTTTCAGATCAATGAAATTGTTAAACATGTAAGTTAGTTAAAGGAGAGAGAAGACACAATTGCCAGTATCAAAAATAAATAGTATGACATCATACAGATTTCACAGATATTAAAAGGAAATGGAATTGTTATAAAAAGCTTTATGCTAGTAGATAGAAATTTGACTGCTTAGTTGAAATATCTAAATTCCTGGAAAGACAAAAAGGTTACTCAAGAATAAACAATACCCGGTGCCAAAAAAAAAAAAGAAAAAAAAGAATAAACATAATTGGATAACCCATATCTACTAAAGAAATTAAATATGCACTTAAAAACATTTCCACTGAAAACTCCAGGTCCAAGTGGAATACTGCCCAACATAGTCCATAAAATTAGTATAATATACACACCACAATCAAAAACATTACCAAAACAATAGAAAGGGTAAACTATAACCAATAATGCTCAAAGGAATATAAGAAAAATTCTTAAGTTAAGGCTAACAATCTATGAAAGTGATAATACATAATACATCACTCAAATTTATCCCCCCAGAAAAGCAAGCACAGTTTAACATTAAAATAACAAAAAAGAATTTAATTAGCTATATTAACCATTTAATTAATTAACCATATTGACAGACTAAAACAAAGTATGTTCACCAAGTGGACAAAAAGCACTTGACAGCCGCCTGCCTCGCAAGCACAAGGGCCCAAGTTCCATCTCCGGTACCAAAAACAAAACAAAACAAAAGAAAACAAAAAAAACACAAGCACTTGACAAAGTCTGTCACCCATTCCTGAAAAGAACTCTCAGCAAACCAAGACTACAAGGTGCAACTGCTTGGGAAAACAAGTGAGTTTCTGAAAGTTAAACACCTGCCGCAGGAACCATGCCCTCTCCTCAGAGACATGTACTCTCGTTGGTGAATGAACAAAGAATTCACCATGCAAAATTCTATACACACATGTCCACATGAGGCTTTATTTATAAAACCCAAAACATGGAAACAAACCAAATTTCCAAAAACATGTGGATATACAAAATACATAACAACTGAAACCACTCAACAATAAAACAGAATGAGGGCCGGGGATTTAGCTCAGTGGTTTCGCTGCCTGCTGTGCAAGCACAAGGACCTGAGTTCAATCCCTGGTACCAAAAAAACCAAACAAAAAAACCAGAATGAACTGTTTTTACATTTAACAACACAGATGCATTCAAAATAATTATACTGAGTGAAAGAAGCCAGGCCAAAAAGAAAAGTTTTTATTGCATGATTCCATTTTTATAAAATCTAGAAAATATCATCTATAATGACAGAAAGCCTGAGGACAGGGGACTGTAGGAAGGGAAAGATTACAAGGGAGCACATGCTCACTATCTTCACTGTGCGAAAGGTCCCATGGGGTGTGTGTGTGTGTGTGTGTGTGTCAAACTTCATTAAACTGTAAACTTTAATTATGTTCAATTTATTTTGCCTCAAAAGCTATTAGAAGAGTAGGACAACGATGAGAGGTGTAGAACAATGTGAACGCACGTAATGCCACTGAACTGTACACTTAAATATGACTTAGTCAATTTTGTAATATATTATTACAAGTTTTACAGAGACTTCTAAAAAAATGGTAGGACTACTGAACTCAAAACTGAAGGTACTGCTCGCTTCGGCAGCATATATACTAAAATTGGAACGATACTGAGAAGGTTAGCATGGCCCCAGTGCTAGGATGACACGCAAATTCGTGAAGCGTTCCATATTTTTCTACTGTGATAAAAACAGCATGGTACTGGCAAAAGAACAGACCTGAGGACCAGTGGAACAGATTAGAAGATGCAGAAGCAACTCCAGAAACACTCAGCCACCTCATCTTTGACAAAGGAGCCAAACACCCTTGCTGGAGGAAACACAGCCTATTTAGTAAATGGTGTTGGAAAAAACAGGATTTCAAGCTGCCAGAGATTAAAACTAAACCCATACCTATCACCATGCGCTAAACTAAGATTGAAGTGGATTAAAGATCTAAATATTAAGTCAGAAACACTAAACCTTCTGGAAGTTAAGTTAGGCAGAACTCTTGAAGACATTGGGATAGGAAAAGACTTTATGAACAAAACCTCAGTAGCATGGGAACTAGCACAAAGAATCGACAACTGGGATCTCATCTTATTAACAAGCTTCTGCACAGCAAGAGAAACCACCAGCAGAGCTAACAGACAACCTACAATGTGGGAAAAAATTTTTAGCAGCTGTACCTCAGACAAAGGACTACTATCTAGAATATATAAAGAACTGAAAAAAATCAGACCCCTCAAATTCAAAGACTCAATTCAAAGATGGCCATCTGAAATGAACAGACATTTCTCAGACAAAGAAGTTAAAGCAGCAAATAAATGTATGAAAAAATGTTCAATATCACTGGTGATTCGAGAGATGCAGATGCAAACAACACTTGAGATTCCACCTCACCCCAGAAAGAATGGCTGCTATCAAGAAGTCAACTAATAACAAATTCTGGCAGGGCTGTGGGGAAAGAGGAACCCTGCTCCACTGCTGGTGGGAGTGCAGACTGGTGCAACCACTGCGGAAATCAGTATGGAGATATCTCAAAGAACTAGGACTAGAGGTGCCATTTGACTTAGCTATTCCCCTGCTGGGTATCTTCCCAAAAGAATTAAAAGAATCATACCACAGAGATATATGTGTACCCATGTTCATAGCGGCACAGTTCGTAATAGCTAAAGCTTGGAAACAGCCCAAGTGCCCATCAACTGGAAACTGGATAAAGATGTGTTTTTTTTGTTTTGTGTTTTCTTGGTACCGGGGATTGAACTCAGGACCTCGCGCTTGTGAGGCAGGCGGCAGAACCACTGAGCTAAATCCCCAGCCCCTAGATGTGGTTTTTTTATAAAATGGAGTACCACTCAGCCATAAAGAACAAAAAACTAGTCATTTATAGCTAAATGGATGCATATAGAGGCCATCCTCTTAAGTGAAATAAATAGGACACACATGTGTAAATACCAAATAGTTTTCTGGTGTGAGAAACTGAGAGTGTAAATAAGGATTAAAATGATTAAAATGAATAACTGATAATCTGAAATAGGAAAAAAGGTCCAAAGAGGTAGGAGAAGTGGGAGGGGAAGGGGAAAGGAAAAAGTACGAGAAAAGAAAAAAAAAAATGGAAATGATGTCTATGCAAATAGGGAAGGGCAGAGGGGGTGAAGGGTGCACAGGTAATAGGGAAAAATAAGAATCAAGATACATCGTGTACAGGTACAAGCACCCAACGATAAATGTAAATGAATTGTATACCTAAAATGTACCAATAAAAGAACTTAAGAAAAAAAACAAAACAAAACTGAAGGTATAAGTGATAACGATGACAACCAGTAAGATGATGAGTAAGGGGTCCTTCATTTCCAGGCTCTCTACAGTCATTACCACATTCAGTTTTGTCTGTTGTGAACCAAGCATACAACAGCAGTCCCATAAGACAGCACTGAAAAACTCCTATCACCAAATGATGTTGCAGTGCCCTAGCACAATGCATTCCTCATGTATTTTGTGGTGATGTTGGGATCTAATGCACTGCCAGTAATATAAAAGGATTGCACATATATGATGCATATTACATACTACTTGATAATGATAATAAATGATTACTAGTTTACTTACTATATTATACCTTTGTCATATTAGAGTACATTGCTTCTACTTATTAAAACAATACATGTTACACCAGAAGGAGCCTCATATATCTTATGTATTTTTTTTTGGTACCAGGGATTGAACTTGGGATCTTGCGCTTGCGAGGCAGGCGGCGGTTACGTATGTTCTTGAATGTATCAAGAGGCCAAATCAAGAGACTGGCTTATACCATGTAGGTTTGTGTAGGTACAACTCTGCAAAACAAAACTGCCTAAGAACAGATTTCTCAGCATGAGTCTGGCATTAAGCAATGGGTGGCTATACCTTTTAGATATACAGTGCTTTTGATTAAATGTGAATTTAGAGTTTCTTACAGGGTATTACCTGTGAGATATGATTGATGGAAGACTCCATTCTCCGAAGCTGAGAAGCTTGGATGTCCAGCAACTGGAGTACATTGTTGGCCAATGCATTTATTTGATAAGCAACACTAGCTAGAGACTGGGTTGTATAAGCTTTGGTCTCTTCTAAAGCTTTTCTCTTGTCTGTAGCCTGAAATAAAAACAAAAACAGTTAATATTTACTTAGACTAACATTCACTAAACATTTTCTATAAAAATACAAACATAATTATTTATTTCAATTAAAAAATCATAATTCAATAAAAAAACTGCACCAATCTGACAAGAGATTAAGTTTTGCATTAAATTTAAGTTTATAGGCAACTGATTTTAATACTGACCTTACAATCCTGCAACATTGCTAAATTTACTTATTATCTTTAATCATCTTTGTGGATGCTTCAGAATATTCTACATACCCAATCATGTTGTCTAACGAGTGAAAATTATTTTACTTTTTCCTTTCCAATATGCCGTCTTTTTTTTTTTTCCCCCTGGTACTGGGGATCGAACTCGGGTCCTTGAGCTTGCACAGCAGGCGACGAAACCACTGAGCTAAATTCCCCGGCGCGTCTTCTGTGTTTTTTCCTTGCTCTATTGCACTGACTAGGAACTCTAGCACAATACTGAACAGAAGGAGTTGTTTCCAACTTTAGAGGGAAAATATTCAGCATTTTAATAGTAAACCACAGAAAATAGGTTTCCCATGGGTATTTTAAGAACCTATGGAACTACCATTTTATTCTCAATTTGTTTAAAAACCTAGATGGACTTAGTCTTGAGTAAGCCTTGGTTCTTTTCAGGCATCTATTGTAGTCATCTGCTTATTTTGCAGTCTTCAGAATACAGTTGTACACATCTTTTCCCAGGAGAGTGGCAGAGAAGCCAGCTTTGAACTAAGATCTATTTCTCCTTTTCAGGCACAAAGTTGCATTTTTTTCTCCAGCTTCCTTATTATATGACCACAGAACTAAGTACTGTCGATGAAATGTTAGTGAAATTACGCCATTTCTAGGTCTGGACATAAAAATTGGCCATTCATGTTCCAATTCAATAAAGTAAAATATAGTCCTAACAAAATAAAGTTGTTTTTAACACAAAACAGTATTTTACAATGCTTCTTTTTTTTCCCCCAGTACCAGGAATTGAACTCAGAACCTTGCATTTGCCAGGCAGGTGTGGCACCACTGAGCTATATCCTTGGTCCACTGCTTCCATTTTTAAACTTAAAATATAACTCAGGTTTAACTTTAAAATTCATTTCTCCAGTCTTGTACTACTTCAAGTGCTCAACAGGCACATGTGGATTATGAGCACGTTATTCAAAGTATAGTTCTAGGGCCGGGGATTTAGCTCAGTGGTTTCGGCTGCCTGCTGCGCAAGCGCAAAGACTCGAGTTTGATCCCCGGTACCAAAAACAAAAAACAAAACAAAAAACCCCCACAAAGTATAGTTCTAATTCATCATTGTTCATTTCTTTCTTTTTTTGGTACTGGGGATTATACTTGGGACCTTATGCTTGTGAGGCAGACGGCACCACTGAGCTAAATCCCTGGCTCTCATTAATTTCTTCTAAAGATCATAAATCTGAAAATTAAACCTGCACAAAATTACTGTTACAAATTTATTTCAAGTTTGTAAATTCAGTATGCAAGAGTTAGTCTTCCTCTCTTAAGATACTCGGTATCTGTACAAAATAAGGGTTTTAAGGGGTCACACAAAATGGATTACAAATTATAAGACAAAGAGCCAGCATTTCTTCAAGAAACTAAAAGATATTAATTGTACCACTCTTCCAAGCAAAGTCTATATACTCTTAACAAATTGCCCTAGGAGTTGACATGTGACAGTGAAACCCATTTGCTATCCCTGTCTTATGCCACTGAAGAAGTTTGCTTAAAATGGAATTAAAGATATTCAGCTTTTAAAGGAAAGTTATATTTCAAAGAGCTAAACAATGAATCCAAAACTAAACAGAAAGTTCATTAGATGATTGAACTTTATAAATGGCTTACACATAAAAGTCTCTTCTTCCTCCTTATTAACCTGTGGAAATCAAGCTTTACTAGATCAGAATCTGCTAGCTGGAACAGAAAATCGTTTCAAGCAATAACTGACAAGTCCCCCCAAGTTGGACCACCACCCAACCAGAAGGAAACCCTCCCCCAAACAGACCAGCTACCTGCATCCACAGAGATAACAGGAAGCCAGTAGCTGCCCTGCTGCTCCTACCACACCACCCTGTTTATCAGCCAGCCCTAGAAATTTTCTACCCTGTCAACCAGTGCCCGCTCCCCTACCTAAACTCCCCTATAACAACCGCACCCATCACCCTCTAAGTGCCAACAACCTTCTTGCCCTTGGCCCATCTGCACCCAGGCAGCAATAAACTCATCACAAGTTGCGTGAACTTTGCCTGCCTCAGTCTGACCTTACAATATGTGACACCTTTAAGTCCTTTTCTTGCCCCTGAAGGTACTAATCTCTTTGGGGCGGGGATTTAGCTCAGCACAAAGTCCCAAGTTCGATCCCCGGTACCAAAGGAAAAAAAAAAAACACACACACACACACACACATAAAGGTAGTAATCTCTTCACTGCCTGAAGAGATTTTTTTTTTTTTCACTGCCTGAAATAGAAATTACTAGCTATAAACAATCAATCCCCCCCCATCTCTCTCAATGTCTTTCAGTCTCTCTCAATCTGGTGAACCCCTCATACATCTACTTAAATCCCTTTCCTGTCCCTCACACTCTCAACCTTCACCTACTACAGGAAAAATATTTCTCCCTTTCTTATATGATCCCAAAAGAGAAAGAGAATGTCTTTGTCAAAACCATGCCTAAAAAGTAAAACAATTTAAGTTAGAACAAATGCTACATGCTTTTCAAATTTTCTGATTTTCAAAGTATTAATTACAGAAAAAAGGGAAATGAAAATGTGCATCATGGTCCAATCATTCAAATGGGCCAGGATAACATTTTAATGTATTTTCATCAAGTCATCCCACACGTGTGTATACACAAATAATGACTATATATCTCAGAGCCCATTCTTCAGTTAACAATCTATAAGCTCCATGATCATTTCCCCATATACTATTCTTCCCTACTATCCTTTTCAAAAAGTAATTTTCAGTAGCTTCATGATTATGGCAGTGAGCTTTAGATACCTACTCTCCTTAATTCCTACTTTAATCAAATTTCTCATTTGATTTTAAACAGGACATCAATGTATTGGGTTCTGTTAAAAACAAATTAATATACTGGGCCAGAGATTTAGCTCAGTGCTGCTGCCACCTGCCTTGCAAGCGCAAGGTCCCGAGTTCAACCTCCAGTACCAAAAAAAACAAGAAAAAAAATTAATATACAGGTTCCTTTAAATTACCAAAAAACAGACAGCAATATTTCAAGTTTATCAAAATTCAGATAGACATGAGTATAATTATAAATACTCCCTATTTCCCTGTAAGTATAATATAATATATAAAAGTATAAATATAATTCCAATGTTACTATCCTTCAACTTCAATAAATATATTTAGTTTTATAAATTCACACTTCACTTGGTTTTAAAATCTTTGCAAAGGTTTGAATCTAAAAGCCATCAAAATTTAGTTTCACACAAGGTGTAATGGCGCATGCCTGTAATCCCAGCACTTGGGAGGCTGAGGCAGGAGGATCCTGAGAGTATGAGGCCAGCCTGGGCTACCTAGTGTTCAAGAGCAACCTGAATTGCATAGCAAGACACTGTCTTAAAAAAAAAAAGTTTCACTAATCTTATAATGAATCCAGCATCTTGTTTTTAGAAAATAAGACACAATGGATAGATATTTTGGTATTAAAGAAAATACCAGAACACCAGGATCATTTTGCTCTAGCTCTAAACAAGAGAGAAATTAGAGACAATCCTTTTCACAATAGCATCCAAAAAAATGAAATACCTACAAATCAATCTAATTAAGGAAGTAAAAAACCTCTACATAGAAAACTACAGTACTCTGAAAAAGGAGATTGAAAAAGATATCAGAAAATGTTAAGATATCCCTTGCTCTTGGATTAGAAGAAACAATAGTGAAAATGGCCACACTTCCAAAATTGTTATACAGATTCAATGCAATGCCTATCAAAATCAAAATTTATGACAGAATAATACTATAAGAATAGATAACTCCATACCTGTCCTCATCACATCTTTTCCATAAATCCACCAGGCAGCAAGAGGGGTGGATGAAGAAGCTGAAATCCAGAAGTGACATTGAGGAGACACACACACTAACTATTCTACACCCACTCAGAAGTATATTCACATATCTATTTCTCCATATTCCCAATCATATTCCTGCCAAGCACATTATTAACTACTGTCACGAATCAGAAAGGATCCTCATCTCTAACTTCCTTTCTTCTAGACAAAATGAAAAACTAGATGAACTGCTTGAAGCTTCACCCGCTGGGAGAATAATTTCCCTTCACTACTGTCCTCCAAGTTCACTTCTGAGTGTGACTATGGTGCTATTAATGTCTACTTGCAGGTGTTACCAATGTATGGTGTAGAACCCTATCAACTATGCCTAAGTTTTTTCTACCTTCATCAAATGGAACTACTCATAAGGCCACAGATGTGAGATGAAAGTAGCAGGAGTATGAACCAAATAAGGTATACAAATTGTCAATAATAAAAGCAGATTATAAAATTACAACATACTTGATGTTTTACATCATGTATACAGACACACATACAAAACAGAGATCCAGAAGGAAAATACCAATATCTTACTGGTCATCTGGTGAGGTAGGGGTATGTATCCAATTTTTTCAATGATAAAGGAAAAATTATTTTCCTAAAAACTTTTAAAGACATGGACAATTTTTTATATCTCTTAATGGAAAAAGAGCCCTGTAATACGTATCTGTTTGTGTGGTGTGATCCCTTATTTGGTATTGTTAGTGCCTATACAAGCTAATACATCCAGACAATGAAAGGAAATAGAACACTATGTTAAATAGCTGGATTTTAAGTGATTTGTACTACACTTGATCTTAGCCAAAAGGCCGAGAAGCGATGATTTTAAGTGATTTGTGATTCCCTTTTCTTTCCTGACATTTCCAAAGTTCATCAACATGTAACATTTTTACTGAAAACCACTGGG